CGCCGTAATAAGGCCGAATTTGTTCTGGCAACCTCTACACTAACGATTACGCCTTTGAACTGAATCATTTTGAGCTTCGGGACTATCCCATAGATCTTGACTGTTGAAGCGTGGTGCTGAAAATAGTTTATCAGTCTTGAGAATTTTTTTCTGATAGTAATGGTTCTGATTTTATCTTATTGGTGTCTAACTAAGGTATCGTGCCGTAATAAGGCCGATTTTATTGTAACACTTTGTATGTCACACTTTGGTCTTGAACCTATGATTTTTAATCGTCTTATAGTGTCGTCAGTCCACTATAACATCCTGGTTGGAGACTAAAGGAACAAAAATATTGTTTTCTTAAAATTGAGACTTAAATAAAGTAACAATAATATGCATTCTTCATTCTTCATTGTTACTGCTAACGTATACTACTCATAACTTAACCATAGATCACACAGACCTTTGAAAAGAAAGAGAACATCTTGAAATATGGTTTCATTTGTTCCCCAACAATTTATCGAGGATACTGTCCACTCATAAGTAACTGGGATCTGGATAACATTGTAATACTTGCTTATTGTCCAGTTAATTGTATTGTGACGATTTTGAAGGCACACGACTGCGTGGTAAGTAGTGGCATTAGAGAGATAAGAATCTTTTGACCAACATAAAAAGGTGTAGTAAGAATCCACGTTTCTTTTAATCCATATTTTAAAAATATATCGCAAATATAGCGTAAGTGTGTAAAGTTTATCTGATCTATAATCCCATTAAATGAGTAACTAAAGCTATTACAAAGAACAATCGCGTAGCAAAATAAATGCGTTTTATTTGCACAAATAACTGTTGATGTTAAACCCAAAGTTGGACAAAAGTCACAAAACAAATAAAAAACCTCATCATCATGTTCATCCACGACTGTCCATTGCTGGACACGTCCCATCGCCACCGAGCCCTTTCTTTACCGGCTTATACAAAAGCCTTCAAAAAAAGCAAAACCCCACCGAATGCAACTAGATGTAAACATCCAACCAAAAAACCGCGCGCGTTATTCAAATCGTATTGTAGACGATTATTCAGGGCCATACAAACGTCGGTGTGTGCTCCCCATTATACAGAGGAATGTGTCCGGGTGATTTTGAATGGGACCTTATTATGCACCCATTTACACCCGCGCGTCGCGGATCTCGAGAGACTGGATGGGATGGAACTAAGAAATGGGAAGAATGTGGATTGGTGAAAGGGACAATAGTCAAGCCGATTAGCGGTCTCAAGATTTTTATGATCAATACAAAAGTTAAGAAGACTACTGTAAGAAATGTGCTCTAGCATATAAGGCTAAAAGTGAAACTGGGTGTTGAATATTCCTAAATGAATGTGCATGTACTCTTCAACAAAAGCATCCACGAATTTTGCCATCTTACCCTCAAAATTTACAATATTGTATGAAAAACTAACATCCTTCACAATCCTATAGCAATTTGTTCCTTCACTGGCAAGCACTAGTAAAACTCCGCCTCTTTATTCTACATAAAATGCCTCTGATGTGCTACCATTAAAATTTGTTCTTACTTTTTTTTGGAAAATTATATTTCTTCCAATCAAAAAAGCAATAGACTGATGAAGTTGGATGTTCTTCTTTTATTAAAGAAAACTTATCATTTTACACCACCGTTCCTTATTTTTAAGGTTGTCTCTTCCAGAAAAAACTATAAATCTGCATCAGTGATACGAAAACAGTAGCCCAAAGGCGTATGATACGCATCTGCCGCGGTAACAAGGCCCGTGTTGCTGTCAATCGCGCTAATGTTCGCGCGCGGCCTGAGAGGCCTCGCCTCGCGATCTGTTTCATTATTAAAACTATGTTGGATAGAAATAACCACGTAAAGTTGGATGTTCTTCTTTTATTAAAGAAAACTTATCACTTTACACCAAAGTTCCTTATTTTTAACACTGCAGTACACGCGCCTCTTTTTTTACACGAATACACGCGCGGCCTACTCTAGTAAGCCAATTTAAAATCACTGTAAATCAGTTTGTAAGCAATTTATGAATAGAATAATTAAGTAAATGATAAAAGTGTTTATTATAGTTATTTTATAATCAAAGTTTCTTTATATAACTATTTGGGATCAAACATTATAAACAGATTTAAAAGTTGTAAATTTTTTGGACCAAAATTGCACTCTGAGACCAATGTTAACAAAAACAAAATGACTGAAAAAATATGATTAGATTTTTATCTGTCATAGTATTCATGACTTTCTACTGCCTGGTACACGGTGTAAATCCATTTGTTGCAAGTCTTTCATAATTTTTTTGTCGAGTGATTTCGGGCTTTTGAGTAGACCCGCAGTTTTGACGGCTAATTTTAGAAAAGTGCGCAGACGCTAGCGGAAAACAGTAGCCCAAAGGAGTATGATACGCATCTGCCGCGGTAACAAGGCCCGTGTTGCTGTCAATCGCGCTAATGTTCGCGCGCGGCCTGAGAGGCCGCGCCTCGCGATCTGTTTCATTATTAAAACTATGTTGGATATATAAAAATAATCTTTAATAAAGGATGTTCCTCTTTTATTAAAGAAACACCGCAAGAAAGACCGCAAGCTAGGCAGCGTAGATTTTGATGTGTAAGTTATAATAAAAAACATATCATCATTGGTCTGTCATTTACAACATGGAATGCAATAATGTCTTGGCTGTAAATCAGATATTGACGAAGTTTTCCAAACAAAAGAGAAGTGAATCGTCATAACAGCCACAAATTGCACACGAGAGAAATAATAAAAAAAAAATTACTGGCCTGTAAAAAGTCTGTAATTTTCTTTAAAAAAAAGCACGCATCGACAAAACTCTTCTGGTGTTATAGATGTAAATGGGTGATAGTTATTTTCTGGCCAGAAAGTCCACCAAAATTTCGCGATGATGTTTTTTTTAATTCTTCCTACATCGTAAAAATTGTGAATTCGTTTGTTTTAAAAAATATAATGCACGATAAACATCGAGCTACTCGGCGTCTTTCGCAGCCAGTTTACAGCGTGTAGCGAGCACGAGACATGCGATACGGATCAGTGTATTGAAATTAGACGGTTTCACGCTACAGTCTTACATAAAATATTTTTCAACAATCTGTCCCATGCTTTAATAAATTGTACATAAACCAAGTCGGGTCAGATGTTAGTTTTATGCAAGAAAGTCTGGACAGATTTCAATTATCTCTGCTAGATTCGTGAGGACTAGTAGGATAACTACAAAACACTGTTTAAAAAAAAACATAGTTTTGGAACTTCAGCTTCTCTTTAACGTAGGTATATGAAACAACCCGACATTAATATTATCACTTTTTGAATTTTTTTATTAGGTAGGTAATACTCTACTGTTTCATACTGCAGCTACACTAAATTCTTACTTAGAAAGTACCTCACGAAAATTACCAACTTGTTTGTGAAATACTGATTATTCACACTTACTAACTACCCATGACGCTTATTGGACCGCACAAAGCGCAAGCAAAGCCCATAAGAGCCAACGCACACGATGCGTTGCGGCAGCGGTGCCACGCCGCGTCGCGCGATACGGCATCTTTGTGGTTTTTTTTTAAGGAACTGGTGTCTTGAAGAGTGTGGGCTTCGCTTCGCGATGCTCGAGGCTCGATACGGCTTGATCGCATAAGCCGCCCAATCAGTGGCGAACCCAACTAGAGTGTTGCCCACCGCGTTGTTGGACCGCAAAGTCCAGCCTACGGCGGGCTTACTTTAGTGGGCCCTATCGAGGGGACTACGGACGCGGTCTGAGGGCGCCACGGTAGGCTCGGACCTCGGCTCAGACCGTGTTTGGGGGACGGGTTTGGGATCTTTACGGTGTGGGGACGCAAAGTATCGTGTGCGTTGACTATTACCAATGACGTTTATTGGTCCGCACAAAGCGAGCAAAGCCCATAACTCGCGGCGCATGCGCACCGATACTAACGCACAATGAGATGTCGTAATTTCTATGTTAATAACATAATAACTAGTCACAAACCATTTTGGTCTAGAACTCGGACAAACGGGAGCGATGGCCGGTACGGTTAGTGGTGTAAGTCGATAATTGCTGATTTGCGAAAAGTAAGTAAAAAAGAAAAGTAAGTAGGTAGGTACAATTCTTATTAAAAGCTTTCTTTAAAGCATTTCTTAAGTTTTCTGGCAGAAGCACCTGTTCTGGATTAAAAATTGATGGAAATACATTTTTCTTTGAGCACTTACTTTACACTTACTTACTTACCTACCAGAAACACAAATCGCAAAAAGCCTGGTAATGTTTGACGAATGGAATAGTTTCATTTAGTAATAATAACAATTAACTAAATAATAAATTATTTTCGAGTATGTGACTATCATTGAACTACAACAAAACATGCTTGGAGATATTTTTAGTTCCAAGCCTAGCTGCTATTATTTCATATTTTCAGTACTTTTCAATATGTAGCTCCATACAGAATCCAGCATCGCATCACCGCACACTTTTCCGCACAGTAATTTCGTGCTTTGTCGTTAGACCGGTTAAAAAAGTTCGCCCATATTTTTATAACAAAATCAACGATGCGTCATTTTCCACCGTAACCGGGGTAGCAGTGGAAACCCCATTGTGCTTTCAGAGGTGAAAAAAATACATAAAACAGTTTTCGTAGAGGTTTAAAGTCATATTTCTGTGTAGTTATTTTACATTGCATTTTATGTTTTCGATAATATTTTCATTTACTTTATTCAAAATACTCCTGTTATACATTCTTAGAAGTTCTCTCCCAAATGTCGAGTGAGGTCTCCAACAAAACAGAGTCAAAAACTATAAAGACATAGTGTGGGCACACTAGGTGGACCGACGATGTGGTGAAGGTCGCGGGATGTGTATGGATGCGGACGGCGCAGGACCAGTAGTGGACGTCCTACGGCTGAAATGATGTTGAATTTTACATCGTGTCGCAACTTTTGCAATATAGCGAAAATACGAAATAAATAAAACGATTTTCCAAAACTTACGCGGTTATGCTTTTCGCTCTCGTCGTAGAAGGCACACGGAAGTCGGCGCGCGCGCACAATAGGCGGCCAGATGAAAGCGAGCTTAATATGCGTGACGTAATCGCCGTAATGGCCGCCATTGTGGGGGGATTTATCCGCCGGTTTCTTTACTTCGGTCCCTCGGGACCCTGATTAGCGCATTGAGAAACAATAATTATATCAATCATTTTGCCGAAACGAATACGGATAAACTTTGAAGTTCTTGTTGGTAACTTTGTTTGGCTTAGTAAGTTTTTGCAGGCACGAACTGATTCTTCGGGGGTTTGGTTGGGCCGTGCTGATTAGAAAGTTGATAGGCTTTGCTGGCGAAATATGCGTTTCAGCATTTATTCATTTTAAAAATTGCTCATTTGAAAAATGTTTAGGTTATGGAATTGTAGAGTCATCACAATAGCATTTGACACCATTTACTAGCAATCCCAAGAAACAACATCTAAAAAAATACTTGATTTCCTGAAAACAAAAGTTTTAGACGCTGCTTCTTTTCAGCATACTAATCCACAGTATTATCCACTCAGTAGTAAGAGTAAGAAGGCTTAACATTGTAGGTATCTACGGGTCTACCTTAAATTAGTACACTTACGTGTGAGTTAGCGTAGAACAAAGACTTTTATGATTTTGACTCTAAGAATAAGTAGCGATATCAACACCCGTATTAACGATGCTTGCTTAAGTGAAGCAGAAAATCGAACGCACAGCGTTGAATAGAGCTATGTGATTGGTTCGTGGGTCACCCGTGCGCCCACGCGCACTGCGAGATCTCCTAGTAATGTTTGTGAATACGGGCGTAAATCTTCGGATCAAATTACCTCACCAGACCAGAAATATTATTTTTAATTAGATATATCCCAATCCTATTAACAAATACCGTGCAGCCACACCAGCCACAGCCTAACATTTACAGAAGGTCCTCTGGTCTCCATCCAAAAAATACACGAGCAATATCAACTGTCACCATCGAGAGAGGAAAACGCAAACTATCTGAACGCAATCCAATCACCGTCGGACAGGGTGTTCGGATACATAAAACATTACTCTCCCGCCTTTTATTTACATAACAAAACTCAGCCACAGTTAGAATAGGTTCAGCAGTTTAAAAATTTTAAAAATTAACCTACTGAGTTTCAAACTAGGGGAAAATTTGAAAAACATTTAAACGCGTTACAGCGCCATTTCTTTACTCCAAAACGAATCGTAATCGCAACCATCGTGGTTATAGTCACGTTAAATAATGTTTGTAAATAACTTAAACTGACTAACTCCTAACTGGTAAAGGTCGCGGGAAGAGCCTGGATGCGGGCAGCGCAGGACCGTGTATTGTGGAAAACTTTGGAGGAGGCCTTTGTCCAGCAGTGGACGTCATTTGGCTGAAAAGAACGAACGAAATAACTTAACTTAATTTCTACATGTATACTTTATTTATATTGATGTGTTATTGACCAACACGAGATTTACTAATTAAAATCATTAATAATTAAATTAATCATTTATTTCTGTTTACTTTTTAATATTGTCCATAACAAAGAAGTGTATTTAAATAAAATATCTATCCACATAAAAAATATCTATCCACATTAAATAAAAATGGCGTCGTATTACTTAATAAACTTCGAGCTTGATCGAAAAACGAACAAAAATAAAGCGTCTGCGTAAAACCTAATAGAGCTTTGTGTCACTTTGCACGTCAAGAGAGACACAAACTGTAGTTCTGAGTTCCGTACATACGTAATAATGTTTAATCTTTGACACGCCTGGCACCAATGATTTTGATGATTTATAATGAAACAAATCACCTTTTAGGCATATCCTTCCAAAGAAATCGAGATAAAACTCATACAACTCATTTATTTTTGAAAATAGGTTTAAAAAGCACTTTTTCTGTACCTAGTTTCATTTAATACATAAATGAAACGAGCTTGTCTGTTGCGTGCACTTGCTGCTTATTTATTATAAAGTGTATTCTGTATTTTTCTTTGTGAATATAATTGTATTCTTTTAGAAAAATAAATATCTAAAACCATAAAACCATAAAGCACTTTTTCACGTTCCAGTATTAACCCTACCACTGCTTCGGGACAATAAATGGGCCAGTGCTGAGATAAATTCACATATACTCCTCTCGTTTTAACTAAGTCTGAAGGTAAGTAACTATTGTAAAAGCCATAAAACAGCTTTTTGAACCCTTTCAGGAAACAGAAACAATTACCTACATATTAAACTTGTTTCAAACAATGTGGTTTTTCATCAAATTACGGAACCCCAAACCGTATAGTAATTTAAAAGCTCTTAGCAATATAACAGTGGAGAGCAATCGTTGGAGGCTTTGAGGGCCTTTAGGTAAAGGTTTTACTGGGTTCGTTGAACTCCTCAGTAAATAAATAAATATCCACATAATGCCCAAAGCCCTTTTTTGCACAAATAGAAAGATTTTCTGTTGAGTTTTTCTTTCTGGGTTTTCTGTGATTCTAAGTAGCCGTTTTCGATAGATTTATTTACAAACACTTTAACACACATTATGTATAGTTTTTGGTGTCTAAAAACTTTTAGACTTTGAAACTTGAGCTTTTTTCCAAAGATACTGGAGAAGTTTTTAGACTAAAAACAATTTGGTAAAGTCTATGCCAAAAAGAAACAAATTATTTCTGGAACAAATATGATACACTAAAAAAATTGATAATTACAAAGAAATATAGGTACTAGGTGAAGTATAAGTTATACCAAAATTTTTCAGTTTACCCTTAGCTAAATACTATATTTCAATGAAATCTTCGATTGCAATACAAAGCAATATTTTTATTTCAATATGTATATTTTTTTCTATCTACCTGCAAGATTGCTCAAGTCTTTTGTTGCGGACTATATTAAAATTACTTTTGATTAACTGAATATTTAATGATTTTATTTTTAAAATGTAGGATTCATCATCATCTTTGGATCCTAAGTAAATAAAACTTTTCGTGTGAAACACACTTTTCTTTTGGCAGATGTTTTAAAGGGTTTTCTTTTGACCCATTTTCATCGGCTCCGTCGCGGCTCTCTAATTTCCGTTCCCTTTGCGATCTCTAAATGAGAACTGAAACGTTCAGTAGAAATAGTAAAATGGCCTAGATTTCAAATCACTTCGGCAGTTATTAGCTTTGTTGCTGAAAAAAGGGTTATTACTGTTCTACAAAGTGTTATAAGTGTTATTGACAATAAATTATCTTACTCAGTTGTCTTTTTTAGAGGCTTAGAGGATATAGGACCCTCTGGTTTAGCAGAGGCAAATGGAGGATTTGGTCTACACTTCCCACGCTGCTGGCCAGATGGGTTAAAAAGACCTCATGTTCGTATATTTGTGCCTTAGTCGCTTTTAAAATGTTTACGTAGCGAGAAAGCGAGTATCTAAAGCCGGGTCCACAGCGCTTGTTTTGCTCTACACAATCAACAAAAACATGTCAACATTCAATATTTTTGTAGGCAATTTTGTCGGTTTGATATTTAAGGTTTTTGTTCAACTGACTGAGTAAAATTTTCATCTTTGTCTTGGGTTGTTGGAAAATAAGCTGTATCTCTAGGACGCTTGCTGGCGATAAAACCGCCTAAATTGTGCCGTTTCGATTTGGCATTTCTCTTATGTGGTCTACAAAAAACTATATCCAACTATTTGCAAAGTCGCCCATTTTTCCTCACAACAGACCCTTCACACTCGTTGGCTGCCCCGCCTCGGAGATTTGCGATCGATATCCGCGAACGTGACGAATTCAAATCGATCCGCGCCAACATCTACTCGTGCGCAAATCACAGGCGGCGGCGACGCGGCCCGCGGGCGGCACGCCGCAACGCGATTTTTAGGATGTGGATGCTGTACATTGAGGATTGGAATAGAAATAAAAAATATAAGGTTTACTTAAATCAATACTAAATAATGCACATTGTCATATGACAAGCAGTGATATCACTGCTATTCTCTGGGTTTCGACCCAAGGATGTTATAATAATACATTAATTCATTTCAGCCAATGACTGTCCAAGTAAGTCTATTGCACTGCCGGACATAAGGCTTTACTAAGGGGATGGAAATTCCATAAAAATACGGTCTCCTGCTTAAAAATTCATATTCTTAAAGGGATTTCTTTTAGGTCTTAAATTTTTTTTACGTTTGCTGAGACGTGGTCGCCATTCGAAAATTCGTTTTACTCCACTTTCGTCAATTTGTCACCTTAACTTGGTCAATTGTTGAATTTTCGTTTCGATTTCTTTCCTTATGTATTGCTTTCCATAGCTTGTTTAGAGACGTGTAGGTAGGTCCAGTAGGCCTAAGATACGCGCCGCGATAAGCGGTTATCACGCCATTTTATCGATTTTGCCCATAAATTTTGACGTCGATAAAAGTTATCACGGCGCGCATCTTAGGCCTACAGGTGGGCCAGTTTTATGTAGCCTACTATGATAGAAATAGTCCTATGGAGTACCGGCTTCTTAAATTCAAATTCAAATTCAAATTCTTTATTTGCTTATAAATAGGGTAAATACATAAGTGGTGGATGGTATTTTATAAAAGTGCAGTCCTATTTAGCCAATGTCAGTTAGCATGCAAATTATAGATTAGGTAAATGTAGATTGGTATTACATGTATATTATTATTATTAAATGTCGATTGATGTTACGTACTATTAAATGTCGATTGGTATTACATAATCATGAAATGTCGATTAACATTAAATATCTTATTAATATTGATTTTCAGTACAAATAAACAAAAAAATAATTCATTGTTATTAATTTTTTTAGTAGACAGCAATTTTTTTAACCACGGGCTGGAAGACGTAGCGTTGGCAGCCCTCCTACTAGGTGGATCGACGATCTGGTAAAGGTCGCGGGAAGAGCCTGGATGCGGGCAGCGCAGGACCGTTCATTATGGAAAACCTTGGGGGAGGCCTTTGTCCAGCAGTGGACGTCATTTGGCTGAAACGAACGAACGATTTTTTTTAAATTCTTTGTTATTTATTTTTTAGTAGACAGGCAGCAATGGACCTGCAAGCGGCGCAGGAGCGCGTTCCTGACAAATGAAACGATACGGCGGGCACGCTCGCTCCGGTAAATAGTTCACACTTGCCGGACCTGAGGTATGTAACTGCTAGTTCTAACACGTTTCAATTCAAATATTATCATAGTAGCAGTTTTCATGAAAATTTTAGTTATCTCTATGAGAACGGCTACGTCACATTTACATGTCATTTTTGTTTCATTTTACTGAAATAATCATTTATTATTTTCGTAGCTACTTTTAAACCTATAAGTACCTAACAGGTAGATTTTCTATTTTATAACTGTATAGATATTTTTTACTTTCTTTGATATACTAAGGCGGTTATCACACTGCGCCGCGCTCCGCTGCGGAGCGCGTGGTTTTCATATAAAAAATCACGCGCGCGGACGCGTTGTCAGTGTGAAGTGCCGCGCGTGTTTTCTATACAAACTGAGGTACTTGCATACAATGATTAAATCTGTCGCCCCGCGCGTGTGATAACCGCCTTAAATATGTTTTTTTCTATTTTCTTTCTAGCCAGCTACAAGTCTCGCAGCTGGGAGCGTGCGCAAACCGCATGAATTTGCCGTTTCAGTTGCGATCGACTCAAATAATGACATAAAGTGAGATGTGTGAAAAAAAAAGAAAAATAACAGTTGACCAGGCTGTTTCTTTTTTCCAACCAGCAACACTCTGGTGGTTCTTTTTTTAATAACTGAAATATTTTTACATTTTCTCCAGCCAGCTACACGTCTCTCAGCCTACTTGCTGCTTAAATTACTATTATTATTTTTCTTTTTTCACCATACCGAGATTTTTTTCTTTCTAGCCAGCTACACGCCTCTAAGCCTACTTGCTGCTTATATTAATATTATTATTTTTCTTTTTTTACAATACCGATTTTTCTTTTAA